TTTTTAATTATTGTGCACTGTAGCCAAAAGCTTAAAACTTAAGGTACAGGGAGGAATCGGCCATAGTTGCAAAGACTTTATAACATAGTGTGGTATAATGCCCTTATGCAGCTGCTGTTGAAGTTTATTACTCATACGCAGTGTTGCCCACTGCTTGCTCCACTTTATTTCTAATACGCAATGTGGGCTTCTCCCTCTTTTACAGCTTGTCAAGTCATTAAAATCAATGAGAAACCAACAGTCATTAAAAACATATCAAGCTGGTGTACATTATTTTGTTTCCCAAACATTTTTGGCTTTTAATGCATTTCCTAATTTTGGTTTTCGACGATACTATTTTAGTGAATCAGTATTTAATTGTCGAACATGGCTGAAGAAATTAGATTTTAATTGGACAAAATATAGGGATGATTAATTCACTCGTCAATGGAAAATGACAATGTTTTTGGCTTACAAATATGTATGCAACTTGGTTTTATGTTGCAGCTAACAGGAAATGACTCGAATGTAATGATGATTGACTAATTGGCCAATGACAAATGACCGAGCATAATTTGAGAGTATATTTGTGCAATTATGATGATGACTTTTGATGACCAGTCAATGAATTGAGGGAAACCGCAAGCCAAAGCTAGAAAATTTGTAAATCATTTGGGAAAAGTAGAAGGCTTTGAATAAAATGCAATTAAATTGCAAATTTTCCATTTCCCATTTCCAAGGAAAAGCAGCTTAATGAGCCTGCTAAAATTTTGCAAAACATATTGTGTTTGCCAAAATATCATCCTTTGTATGCAACTTAAATGTGCAACGAGCGTAAAAATTCAAGCCTCATCAGCTTAGCGCTTAGTGCGGCCATTTACCCGGAAAATCTCTGGTAATTGGAAAAAAATCAATTAATTGGAATCGTGCATAATGAATGTTGGGCAAACGTGTTTACAAGCCCGAAAAGGCAAACAAACCGATTTCCGATGACAAAATTACTCATTTACAATGCAATTTTGAGGCTGAATATGCGAAGAATCTGGGTTGTACATGGGTCTATATACCGGGTGTATATACAAGTATATCATGTATATTACATAGTATCCTCGTTGCCTTTGTTCCAATGGGCAGTAAATCATTGACCGAAATTGGTGCGCTTCAGTGGAGAGCTGGCCAAACACGACGTAAATTAATAAATATTAAAATGTCCAGCCATGTCCTGGAACTCCACCCCATCTCCGTCCTCCTGCTCCATTTTTCTCCCCTGCGCTGACTTACTCAACTGGCACTTGAAAATGAACAAAGCGATAAAAAGCACAAAACACTCAGCCACAGAGGACAGGGAGAAATGGGTGGTAGATAGAGCAAACAAACTTCTGAGCCATTACACAACAAAATGGCGTTAACAGGGCAGCAAAAATGGCGAAAAACAGTATGGTATCGCACCGCTGATATCCTTGTGGGATTCACCATTTAGTTGGGAACTCCCCGTCCACAGCGGTGCCGAAAATACCCAACCGGAATGCCATGCCGAAACAATATATAAACAACAATTCAAATGCAGAAAACACTCGCCAACACACCCACACACACACACGCTGCACGTATTGAAATAATATTTTTACATTTCATGTTGCCAAATGGTTTATCCAGCAGCAGCCAGCAGACGGAAGTGAAAACTCTCTAGCGGCGGCGGATGATAAACAAAAAAAAAAGGAAAGTGCAGAAAAAGCAAGTGCAACCACAGATGGACAGCAAAAGCAAAGCCAAAGGCACCACGGGGAACCGTCCAGAAATATGCAATGATAATCAGAAAAGCAAACAAGATGTGGGGACGACCACGACGACGGCTCCATGAGGGCCATCAGGATCAGGATCAGCATTTGCATCCGCATCCACATCCACATCCACATCCTCGTCCGCATCCACGTTCACATCCACATCCACATTCACATCCACATCCTCGTCCGCTTCCACATCCACATCCAACATCAACGTCAACATCAGGAGGTGAAATGCTGTTGGTTTCCCCATTGGTTGCTGATGCTGCCTGATTTCCGAGCTCATCCGCTTCTGTTTGCCAGTCAATCAATGCACAGGGCCAGCACCACCGAACCACTGAACCCACTGAACCACCGAACCACTGAACCACCATACATATGTGTGGCTTTTGGCCCACCCTCAACCACACGGTCAGTGCTAATTGTGATGCATTAATTGGCCAGGCCAAGCACAGCCACATTATTTAGATGCATTTCTAAAGCCAATTGTGCTAACTAGCTTTTTGGCCAAGGGTGAGGCCCCTGGAGTGTCAACAGGTCAATATGGAGATGGGAATAAAGGGTAGAATAACTGTTAGGCTAGAGATATGTACTCCATAATTCATAGTATTTAAATAGACTCTGTAAATACTGTCCAGAGCAGGGTTGTCTAAGCAATCGATAGCATTATCGATACTATCGATGATTTTGCAATTTAGTAAACATCATCAATATGAGACAATTAATTTAACAGAAGATATTTTTCTTTATATGTGTAATATGATTCATAAGGTTCCCACTCTAATCTTATCTGTTATTTGTTTTCTCTCATGTTTGTATATAGATAGTGGCTACTATCGATAGCTCAAACTATGTTTTCCCAACTCTAGTCAATATTATACATTAGAAAGTACCAAAAAAGATAAGCACTAGATACATTACAACTAATTTCTGCCAATAAATTCATAATTGCGTAATAAGAGCTGTGGAAACTCCTAATTATTCCCAAAAAAAAACCAATCAAATTAGCTGCTGCTGCGCTTTTATTTCCTTGACCTGTATTATTTATGAGCTTCTCGCTTACCACTTCACTTCACTATTTATTTATTTATTTACATGCAACATTTCAATTAAATTTCAATTTATTTCTGCAAGCTCATTGATTATGCATGACAATTAATTTTATGCAATTTTCAGTACGCAATATTTTCAATTAGTCTGCGGGCCTGGCGGAAGGTGAGTTGGGGAGCTGGCGACCTGGAGGACTAGACAGCATAATATGCTAACTATGTGCCGCACCCACTCGTTGTAATTGATACAGGGCCAGAGATTGGATGGCTTCAGTTCCATGGAAAAGGATTATATGTACATACGGATATATGGAGGGGACATCCGAGCAAGGGGATAATACCAAAACAGAGGCAGGCATATATATATCGAATGTCCGAGGAACAGACAATTAGTTGCTCATGTGACAAATGCAAGGCCAGGGAAAATAAAGTGGCAGTGGGCCCACAAACAAAGGAGGCAAAAACATCGAGCGAGGTATGGGGATGGCATCTAAAATTGCATTTAAATAATGAAAAAGGCTTAAACAAAAGGCCGGTCGGACAATGGCAAACTGCAGCCAAATGGCCAGCAAAATGGAAAGGAAGGAAGCGAACGAAGGTTGAATGGTAGGAAGGAAGGAAGGAAGGAAGCAACTTGGCTCAAATCAAGAACATGTAAATACAGTCAGGCCAACGTTTGACGCTTGGCTAGCCACTGTCCAAACTACCCGATCCCCAATCCTTGACCCCTGACCCCTCGTTCTATCTATTTCAAGAAGAGAATTGTAAATTACAGTTGCATTCATTCATTGGGTAAATATTCTTCTCCTCTTTTTTTCGGCCGCCTGGGGATTCATGAATAAATGATAGCTCAACTCTACTCCCACACTCTGTCATCGGATATACCATCTATATATATACATATATTGTGTGTGTGTGTGTGCTGGGGGAAATTTGAGACTCACCTCATTAGCACTTTGTTTGCTCCGGCCACGAGGCGTATGCGTAATATGCGACACCACTCCGCCGAACACCGAAAGCGATGCAAATAAGAAGCTAATTAGGCGCTGATTGATGCCTCTTCACATGGCCTCTGGGCAGTTCACCACCTACACAATATGGTAATGAATGCTGGAGTATTGGCTAATGGGAACGGGGGCATCAGAAATGTCCCGAAAAGATAGCCAAATGCTGTCAAGCGGAGTTGCATAACCATTTATGCCGGGGGGTTGGGGGGTGGGGCGGCTTGGGGGAAAACCGCAGAGAGCAGGCGACTGGAACTAAGCGCCTTAAGGCAGCTTTCCCCCTTTCGCCGCTCCCCTCTACGATTTTCCAACTGCCAGTTTTCCTCAGATGCCAGTTGTCAATTGTCAGTTGTCAGTTGTCACTTGGCTGCCTCATGTGGCCTGCTAATGCGATGCGTTGCGTTGCGACGCGCATCTGAATGATGCAGCAACTGTAAATGCCAACTATGTTGCAAGCTGGGGAAACTGGAAAACTGGGAAACTGGCAGGGCCAGATAGGCAGATTCGGATTTGGATCCAAAGAGAGAAAGACGTAGGGGCAGAGGCAGGCGAATCCCACTAATTGCCACCGAACGGAGGCCAGACGGAGTCGCCACCCATGAGATCGCGTTAGTTAGGTTGTTGGGCGAGGAGGAGCTTAAAACCTATGGTCCTTGGGCTATGACGAACGAAAGCCTTTAAGCGAAATGCTGAAAACGCACTCTAGCATTCATGGAAGATGGTTCCATCAATATATGAGGCAGCATTATCATTGAGACCTGTTATGTTAGGAAGCATCACTTCATTGTCTTAAAATATAGCTATGTACAATAGCTAGAAAATATAAATATATAGGGATTCATTTATTTAAAAGTTAAGAAACCCTACATTGAAAAATCTTTAACAAATCATTAGCCTTTTAACAGCCAACGCACTTTAACTTCTTTAAATTGTCTATCTCCTGTCCATGTAATCAAAAGTAATTAAGTCATCTTGTAAATACTATGATATTCCAGATGAAAGGCCCAGCAACTATGTATCTTAAGCAATGAACATTTCATAAGATATTAATACCGATGTTTGGGACTTTAGGCCTATATACTCGTATGACATTTTAAAATTTTTCCAGGGAAGTTACCTCAATCTATGTAATCTGTTGTAAAGAAGACTGTTATATCAGGAGTACATTTCAGATTGCAAATTTATTGATCAGATTTGGTCATTAAAATCAATCATTCTTAATGAACTCCATTTCAGTGCTGGTCAAGGCACATCCATTTGCGTTCCCACTGAGTTCCCCCGATCTCGCCAGAGGATAATGTCCCGGATGGCCCTAAGCATGGAGCGGAACTTGGTGCGCTCCCAGTGGATGTTATCGCTGCCACGCTCCAGAAGGATCCTGATCATCTGATCCATGCCGTGCATATCCTGTAGGATCTCCTTGAAGTAATTGCTAAAAAAGTCCAGTTCCTGGGCAGTAGACAGCCGTTCGACCAGCGGCCTCAATAGATTCACAATCTTGTTGGTGGAGTTGCTGCAGCTTTTGATTCGATGGGGACACAAAGTAAAGAAGTCATTAACATTTCTAGCTTTCTCCTCCCCTTGCACTTACTAGTTGCGTATGTACTGCATGTTGGTGGCCACATACTTCATGGCCAGCCCATAACCCACGCTATTGGAAACCACCGCATTGAAGGTTCGCCTGGCGTTGTGCCTGCGAATGCCCACACTCTCAAAGGTCCATTTGAGGACCCTTTTCAGGGCGAAAGCGTTGCGGGAACAGGCCAGAGCGGTCAGGAGGGACTCCTGCTCGGCGGCGAAGTTCGAGTTATAGTACATCGACTCCACGGCTTCCCGTTCCGCTTCCGTTCCAAACTTGACCGCCGTGCAGAAGACCGTCTCCCGCTCCTGAATGGTCATCCAGCCGGCCTTCGCCGGCGTCCCCTTCTCGAACTCCCGGCGGGCCAGGCTCACGCAGGAGGGCACCTCGTACTGACAGGCCAGCTGGAGGATCACCGGGCGGTGGGTCATGTTCCCGGAGGAGTTGGACAGGTACAGGGAGAGTACCCGCTTGAACTGACGCTCCAGCAGGAGACGCATATAACTCTGGGAACAAGGCGATTGAGTGAAAAACCATCTTCAAACCCTTTTTCAAGAGCAGCGAACACACCTTGTAAACGCGGTAGTTGTGATCCCTCTTGGCCACATTGTTGATCCGCTCGAAGTTGACCAGCGTGGCAGCCCAGACCACGTACTCATCCTCGTGCTCGAGATAACCGAGAATACCCAGGGCCATCGGGTAGTCCATGATGCCACTCCAGGCCAGGTTGAACAAGTCATCGACCAATTGGGCTCGGTGCACACGGTGGATGAGGCGGAATTTCTTTGGATCGGAGAGCGTTTTGTTGAGCAGCTGCCAGTTGCGCAGGTCATAGTTCACGCGAAAGGGAGCCGAGTGCTGGACATTGAGCAGTAGCCACTCCCCTGGGGACGATACCACCTTCTCCAGCAGAACGGTTGGGACCCCAATCCCCCGACTGGGGTAGATCGGGCAGGTGAGCCAGCGGCTGGCGGTGGAGCTGTCCAACTGCAGGCAACTGGGACAGGTGTAGGTTAGCGGTACCCACCAGCAGGGATTCTTGGCCGCCCGGTGCTTGAACTGCGGACTGATGAAGAAGCGATCCTGCCGCACCAGAGCCGAATGGTTTTTGTAGTTCCTGGTGACCTTGAGCAGGGGATATCCCGGCTGCCGCAACCAGGACTCCATGGTACGGGTGATGTTCAGACCCTTGCCCAAACGCCCATTGCGATCCACCTGCATCTGCAGGATGTCCCAGAAATCCGAGGAGGTGGCACTTCGATTGGCATAAATCACCAGATAGCGACGCACAGCCGCCAGCCACGCCTCCTCGCCCATGATGCGGTGCAGCATGTCGAAGAGCACGGCGGCCTTGCGCTCACCAATCTCATTGTAGGCCGACCAAATGTCCGTCTCATCGGCCACCATGTGGGCCACCAGATCGGTGTTCACATGGGCATCGTGATCGAGCACCTCCAGGTAGAGCCGCAGGGCATGCCGCTCCTTGTAGTCCCATTCCGGACGCAGGGCGTGCACTCCAAAACGGGAGAGATACAAAGCGAAGGCGTTCTTCAGCCAGACCTCGTGCCACCAGACCACGGACACCAGGTTGCCGAACCACTGGTGTACCACCATCACTGCCACCGCACGTGCCACGCCCTGCTGATCGGCCATCGAACTCAGCTCGCTGTCGTACAGGATGGCCTCCTCCGCGAAGGTGGGCAGGCCCCAGTTCTCATTGGCTCGGTAGGCGAAGTTCGGCAGGGCCTGCAGGTCGATCTTCATCAGCTTCAGGGTGCTGTTGAAGAGCAGCTCGTAGAAGGAGAGTAGCGGCGCCACCAGCATGTTAGCAAACTCCGTCTGCGACAGGGCATCTGGACGGGCCCACGTGCTGATCGGACAGCCTGGGCGCTCCTTGGACGTGAAGCCCGGCCTCTCGAACTTGGTGATCGAGAAGGCCACCAGGTACGTCTGGATCGGATGGCTCTCAACGAACTGCGTCCACACGAAGTCGGTTAGGCTGGCGCTTTGGGTGGGATGTAAGGCATTTAATTTGATAGTCCTACTATCGCAACTTCAGTTTTTTTCGTTACACAATAAGCATTTTAAAAGAGATATGCTCGTTTTTAAACGATTATAAGTCCAAAACGAGCTTAAAAAAAATACCTCGAATTCTTTAGAGCTTGGAACAACAAATGAAGTCCTTTGATTTGCTATTTCCACTTTAGTAATTTTAGAATTTGGTCATTGCTAAATTAAGGATTTGAGTTCATAGCAAGGAGACTGCGAATTCTTTACAATTTGGAACAACATACAATATTTAAGTATCGCACTGTACAAATCTGTGAGGCCAATCCCAATCACTAAACCCACCAGAGCACTAACTGTTAAAACAAAAAGACCGCGAATTCTTTAGAGTTTGGATAAGCCTTAAAAATGAAGATTGAAAAAATTGCATATGAAATCTTTTTCGCATCTATAAAAATCTATTAGGCCAGTGCCGATACAAAAACCCCTTCAAGCACTACTCACTGGCGGATGGTCCGCTTGACGGGCATGTTGGACAGGGCGCGGTACTCATGCGGATGGGCCAGGTTGATCCCGAACGGGGTCCTGAAAATGGGATCGTCGAAGCAGGGAAATGCCTCGCGAGCGTGATTCGGCTCGAATTGGGTGGCCGCCAGCCACTGGGCGAGTGTGGTGTTCTGGTCCACGTAGTTGCTGCTGTAGAACCCATTGTTGTCGTTTCTCAAAACACTTGTGAATGAGATTTTTAGTGTGTATGTGGTGTTGACCGTGAGGGTGCTCTTCAAATACACAGTCAGTCGGCTGAGTTGGGTGCTTAAATTTATATGGCTGACCCCCACGGATCTGCCACCCTTCGCCATTAAGCTCACGCCCTTCTGCTTGCGAATCTCCAGATCGCGGGAGTTGAGCACCAGTTTCTTGGTGGGTCGCTCTGATCGCAGGTCAATAAGAACCGTTCCGCCGAAGGGCTGATAGGGCTGGTTGATCCGCGTCACGATGTCCAGACGATATCGCAGTGGTACTACCCACCTCGGCAGGCGGCTGCCATCGGATAGACCTTCCAGCGACCCAAACAAGGTCGTGAGTACTGTCAGGTAGACCAAGTGCATGACTACGTAGAATACAAGCTGCCTTAGTTTGTTTCGATTCGGGACAGAGGTGTGTCCAATCGGCCATTCGATTCGTCAGGCCCCTTAAACGCAGACCGTTTTGAAACCCCATATTTCTTGATTACTACCTCTGTAATGGGTTATAAAAAGATTCCATACTGTACACTCAAATTGGTGTATTATTGTTTCCGATCACAAAAATGATTTCTAGTAATTTAAACTATTCATATAAATTGCTTAGAATGTTAAAAGCTTAGGTAATTCGTTATTGTTTTGAAAGGAATTACTTCGAATAAAGGTTAACAAGAATTGTAATGTCCAATAACAGATATGTATATTCGTTCACTTTCAATTCAGGAAATATTGATACAAAAGATGTAATAATTCGAATTGTGTAAGGCTCTTCGATGAAATCTGAAACAGAATTTGTGGTTTGCATTTGTTTCCCAGTAAAAGGAATGGGAATCCAATCGAATTCGCACACATAGAGCGGTGGGTTGGCGGGAAGAAAAGGGGCGACAAACCACAGCACAATGTCATTAGCGCATGTTGGTCTTCTCTTTCACTCGTTATCTTTGTGTGAGTGCGTGTGTTTGTGAGTGAGTGTGTGAGGTGTGTGTGTGTGGTTGTGTGGGATTGGCAATAAATTTCCAATTTTCGTGCAATTTTCGCAGACCAGGCGGCACACATACCTATAGAGGTGACCGGGGTTGGGGCCGTGGTTCGTAGAGTTGGGTTTTAGGGGCCAGCCTGGCGTACTCATAAATACATTGACCAATAACATAATTTTTGTTTGTGTTGGTATATTGCCAAATGACCTCGTTACCCCGGTGGGAAAACGTGGAGAAATCGAGGGGAAAGGCAGGAAAATCACTGCCACAACACGACACAAAAAGGCGACAAAGGCACCGAACGTGCGGCATATGTTGCTGTATGGGTGGGCGAAGGAGGCGCAGGAGGCAGAGGAGGCGTGTCCCTGGCCCTAGCGGAAGTCGGCTGAGGCCCCTCAACGTTCGCTTTGCTCGCAGTGCGGCATTATAATTAATGGGCATGTTGGGGCATGCGAACCCGCATTTCCCTACTACCGACCTTTCGTACGCCTCGCTCCCTGCGATTTGGGATATTAAATGTAACGATGCGAGCGGCAAGGCGAGGCGGGGCGAGGCGAGGCGAGACAGTTGGCTATGAATACGACATGTAGTTTGTGACGAACCAAACAGTCCAAAACGGTCCCACTGCCCACAAGGTAGAGCTCGTGCGGCTGCTGCTGATGATGATGATCACATGCTATTAAACCGCAATACAATAGCAATTTTCAAATAAATGATTTATGGCTCTGGACATGACACACACAGCTGTCGTGTGTGTGCGGACTGCTGGCAAATGCCAAAACTGCCGCAGTCCGTTGCTGCCATAAACCAAATGCCATAGTCCGGCCCAAAAAAAAAGAAAAGGGAAAAGAGAGAGGAAAAAGCAAAGCATGAAAGCCAGAAAAACTGGGAGCCAAATGCCCAGCGGAGGGGTCAGAGGTGCTGACTGAGATGCTGAAAGTGGGTGCTGGTGGGGTTTGATACATGGCCCAGGGTTCAGTAAGTCGATTTCGTTCGGCCAATTGTTCAAACTGCAGTCAGTGAATTAAGCCAGGGCAATTGCCACATGGCCACAATGCCAGCCAAGAATTCACTTCGATTTCCTTGCACTTTTCAGAAGCCATCCTAGCCATTCAATGGGGTCCACTCCACTTTCGATGAGCGATGATGGTAGTGCCTTCATTTTCCAGTCTATTCAACTTGATCAGGACTTTATGGTTATGGATAAGGGTGCACATAAGTTAACTGCTCCTTAGCGTATATTCATTACGTTAATCCTCTAAGATTTTGATCAATTTGACTAGGGAGTTTGACTAGCCGTCAGAACGTCACTCCTGCATTCCTTGTCCAAATGCCTTTCGATTGATGAAGCTGATGTGCGATTGTTGCCCAGGTGTTATACCGGTGTGCTCGTCAATTTCCAGTTGGCATGCCCATCTACTCACATATCACGTGATGGCATGTGTACGAAGTATATGTAAGGGATGGCAATCTGTTGATTTGGCCACTTGGCGTGGCACACTTTACCGACTTTACCGACTCAAAGGAGGAAACTGAAAACTGGGAGCCGAGAAAATGATGATTCCCCTCGCCTGCCAGCCTCCAGCCTCCAGCCGCTATTAAGTCATAACATTTATACTTCCCTTTTTATACCCTGACAAATCAGCGCACAGAAGTGGAAGGAAAAGTTGAAATGCGGAAAGGGGAACTCAAATGGGAATGGGAACGGAAACGGGGAACTGTCATTGCCAAGATGGCAACGGGTACATTCACCTGTCCCAAACACACACAGCTACACACCCATCCACGTTGATGTCTCCATTTAGTGGGCGATATGCTGCTGCTGTTGTAAATTTTAATGCAAAACTCGTTTATAAACACACACACAACCGGCACAAAAGGAGGCGAGGGGTAGGGAGGAAACGACATTGTCATTTTCTGCTCAAACGTTTGCGTGACAGCACCGCCCACCAAGTCAGCCGCCCAATCTCGCACCACCACCCCAAGAAACAGCCATCATTTTACCACCCTTAGAGCCACCCGCCAAGTTGGCTGCCATTTTGACAGATGCCAAACGCAAAGCGAGCAGCAAAGCTCCACATTTTTTATTTGTCTTTCTGTTGTTTTGCTTGGCTGGAAGCAAATGGCCGAAAAGCTTACAAAATCATCGAAAGGAACAGATACCCTACATATGTATATGTTTATAAACACTTACCTAGAGTTCCTAAACAGAATGACTAGGAGAAATAGTAGACATTTTGTAAAATACACCTTAAAATGTATCTAACTCGAATGAAAGATATAGGGTCTTATTTTAGAAAGCAAGTATAGTGATAACTTGATTTATAATATTCAATTCAATTTGCCACATTGGTATCATAGATTCAATTAAAGATTTATAGAGCCCATTCTCATAAATAATTCGAAAACATTATATTAATTTCAGTTGCGTTATTAGAATGCAGTTGCTAAATACCATTAATTTAACTGTTGAATAAATACCTCTTCTTTTTATTACCTATTTTGTTGGCTAGGTAGCTGGTATTGAAAATAAACATTGCCGTGAAAGGCAAATGAAATATTTTCCAAAACAAAAATGGCAATATTCCCAGCGTTATAGGGTGCCACAAATAACAACAACGGCTGGAGTAAGGAAGTAACCTGCGGGGCGAAGTTTACGGCTCTGCTTGGACCATCGTTAGTTGGCTTTTACGACTCGTAACGCTCCTGACCCCCGACCCCAGACCCCAAACCTCCGGTAACCATAAAGATTAATACCAAAGACCCAACGCCATCCGGGGCGATAACAGTTGTGAGGTCATTGCAGTGGCTCGCAAACCGTGGCAATCGTTATTATTGCAATTTCATTAGATGAAAGCCACAAAAATGAAATAATTAATGGCAGACTGAAACTGAAATAATTGCTAGCGAATTGCAGGGGGTTGATATTGCGGTCCCAAAACGAACGCGGTGTGGGTGAGGGGTTAATGATTTATAATTTATCGAATTGTACAAAAATTATAACAATTAAACGGTGAATTTCGATTGCAATGCCAATCTAAACGGTCAATTAATTACTAATGGGATTAACAATGGGTGGCAAAAGAGCTACTTAAATTGTGGAGAAGGGTGGGAAGGTTGAGTATGGCGTATAGATAAAGGGAATTTATTCAAAATGTGACCACATTGTCTGGCCAACAGTTGAAGATCCGATAACAATGGAAACAATAAGCTCTTTTTATTACATTTTCATGATTTTCACAAAAACACTGTATACCTAAGCCAATTCTAGAAGATTATATTTGCAGTTTCTGTATTTTGATACCTCTGTTAAATTCTATACTTTAACGACAATGTGTGGAAAAAGTTGCTGCATGTTTTCTGTTTGATCCACTGCCAAAAGCTGGAAATCTAAACCAACACGAACTGCTGGGGCTATGGACTACGACTATGTGGCCATATCGAGGCTATGAAATAGGAAGAAAAACTCCATAAAAAGTTTTGCAATTGCTTAAACGTGCCGTTTGGGCTGCATCATAAACAAGGAGGAAAACTGAACCCACCCACCAGTCGGCCATTTCAGTTGGGGACTTTAAAGGCTTTAAGTTCGAATTGCATTCTCAAAATGCAGGGAATACCGGGGGTTTTGGGGGTCAGGAGTCAGGGACTTGTGAGGACTTGTGGGGATGGCTGGGAATTTCTAAGCTGGGCGGTTCATGTGTGCCACATTAGCCACACTCGGGGCTTCTGCATTTTGAATCGCCTACTTTTCGGGGGCAGTCACTTTGGGGCCCTAATAACTTACGGCTCAGTGGTAAGGGGGCAACAACAGAAAAGTCAGCTGCATTGTTCAAGATTTGTTTCAATTTCCACATGCAAGACTCGGGCTTCCTTCATGGAAAATAGCCACATATATGTATGTATGCACATTCTCCATTCCAACTGCTTAGATATGCTGGCCCTGTGCTTGTATGCAAATATGCAACAACGGGCAACAACTGCTTGGCATACAATTTCAAATGATCTAATGAAACAACAACGGAATGGCCAACAACAAAGACACATCAAAATGCCACACGAAAGTGGGCGAAAGCGGGAAAGTGGGCAGGGCTGAGTGGCAGGAAAGCCCAAGGAAAACTCCTTTTCGTCAAGAGGGGGGAAAAGCTAAAGAGAAGAGGGTGAAGAGGAACAGAAAAAGTGGAAAATTCGCTGAATGAAGTAAAGAGTCAGACAAAAATACAATAGGAAAATCGGATAAAAACCAATGGAAAAGGGAATGCCACAATGCAATTGAAGGGGAAAATAATACCAGGTACATTTTGTGATTAATTTACACTTTGAGTATCTGCAGAACTTCGGAATAAGTAGGATAAATTAATTAAATAGTCTCATCCTCTGAAAACTCTCTGGATTTTAAGCTAATTTTG